TCAAAACCCAAAATATTAGTCAGTTCCTTCCTGCATCATCATCGAAAGCAAAAAAATCAAGTGAATGGAAAGAGAATCAAGTTTGAATTTGTTGTTTTGGAGTTGACTTACATTTGTACATTTGTAAGTGATTTGGTATTTAATCTACCACCAAATGAGCCTTCTCTCAATTTACAAAGTGAATTATTCAAAATCTGTAATCTTTCAGTAAAACAATTTTGAATGAAATTCAATTCGTTTATAGTTCTAATCCTAATTTCTTCAATTAATTTAGAAGGTAACCATTTAATTCTTCCTTCTGAAATCTTTGACAATGGTAACCAATAATCTATAACTTCTCTTAATTGATATAAGTTTCCTGAAAGAGAGATATAGGTTTTATCAATACTTGAGAATTGATGGTATACATTCGATGGGTCTTGACGTTCGAAATCTTTGTCGTTGTCTATATAAGCTGGTGAGATCGGGATTAGTTTGTTAGAGCCTAGAACGATTGGTTTGGTTAGTTTTGGATCGACTTCATATGATCTCATTCCACTTCCTTCTACTACTCCTTCATCTTCATTTAGATTATCTGAATTGGTTTTTAAATTCGAGTTTGAAGTTAATTGGGATGGTGTGATGGGTGGAATGTCTTGGGATGAGGTGATTCGAATGTAGTTTTCGAGGGCTGATTGGTTTGATGGGGTTTCTGCAAAGCTTTTTTCACAATATTGGTTGACTGCTATTGTATATCTATCTACCCATTGATGTGCGTGACTTTCGAAAGTTTGAAACATTTTGGTTCGATTGGTTCAATGGGTTTGATCGGTTCAATGGGTTTGATGGGTTTGATGGATTTGATGGTTTGATTTGGTATTATTGATTTTAGGTTTGAAGTTGAATGATCAAAAGTGTTGATGAGATGATAAGTTGACATGATTTTAATGAGAAGTGGTTCTGCTGAGTTCTTTTCGGTTTGAATCTGAGTTTGATGAGTTCCTTTCAAATTCAAGTTTTCCATAAAAAAGGAAACTTTACATTCAAAGGAATTTCCATACAGCTCACTTGTAAAAACCGTTACATACACATTTGTACTTGACCCGCACTGTCCTTCAACCTTCTTGAAAAACTTTGATGTTTATTAGGGGGGCTCATTTTTACCAACTTCAAAGTCCCTCGCAGGCGGTAAAACCCGAATCCTGTGTAGGTACTTGCGCCGAGTGTGAGCTTCCTGGCGTGAAAGGTTTTGGGTTTTAGTAGGGAAAAAATGGTCCCCAAGAAAAACTTTTGCCACAGGAGACTTGTGCATAATATGCCTGGGGGGATTGAAGTCCTGCTTCTTTCAAGGAGGACCCTAGACTCAGATCCTTGATATCTTGAGCTGTTTTTGAGTTTACATTTACTAAAAATCCAAAGTGGCACATGTTACACAAATGACACAAGTGTATGTAAAAATCAAAAAAAAAATTGGATTGCAATGAAAACTTGAGGATGGCTCAAGACATGGAGGTTCTGGATTGAGGGTCATTTGTACAAGAAGCAGGACTTAAATCACTCAAGAGGAAATCAAAAACTCTTTCACCTGACAAAAGTTTTCCTTTGAGTCCATTTTCCCTCTACCAAATCTCATGACCTCTCAAGCCAGGAAGGCCACACTTGGCATAAGTCCCTACACAGTCTTTGGGGTTTACCGCCTGCAAGGGACTTTGTTAAGTTTGTCATTTTTAGTCAGATAATTCATTAACTAAATTTCAATTTTCACAACCCTCCTTGAAGATAAAAGCTCAGTGCATTCAGCTTCAAGGTTAAGGTCTCAATTGACACATCTTCATCTTGAGTCATGTGCAATGTTGGCAAATATATGTACCCGTAAAATGTGTAATGATTCAAATCTGTTGATCAGATGGCCTCTATTTATACTGCTTAGTATTTTCCACTCAGAATTTGATTTATCAAGGTTGAGGTTTGGAATACAGCAGTGAGTAACCAAAACTTAAATTTGTGAAAAAGATGATTTAATATTTTCAATAATTCAATCATCACAAGGAATACTAGAAAGATGAGAATCTTACATAAAAGAATGTAAAGCAGGGGGTTATCTAATTGATTTCTTATGAGAATTATGTTGGGTGTTGAACATAAGATTCAAAGGTTCAGATAATCAATTTCCATTTACTTACTTGTTTGTTTCAACTTCAATTGCTCAACCTGTAATATATTACTTCCCATTTAGTCTGAACACATCAGCAGTAACAGATAGACTATTTGGTTGAGATTGAGATTGAGAGTATAGATTGTCTAAGCCAATCAAGGCAAATTAAAGATCTGAATTTATCAAATGAATTGCTCTCCTTACATTTTATTGCTCAAGCACTTGGGCTTTGAATGTTTATGTATTTGAGGTTTGAAACTTGCTGAATTTGAATGCAGGCTAGCCTGACTATGTTCTAGTAATGAGGTATATTGAAGTTTTGTCAAGCGTAATTGAACATGTTATTTTCATATAACAATTTATTTGTGATAATTTATAATATTTCAACTCCAAGAAAATTGTAACATGAAAGAACTGGGTTTTCTTTCCAAAAGTCAATCTTTTCAGGTTTGGGTTGTGCTAATAGTCCAAAAAGAAAACCCAAAATAAAGGAAAATACAATAAACAGTGTATAAGAAATGTCTGTCAAGGTACATGTTAGATAAGTGTGGAAAAGATATTTTTCATTCTGAGATAAAATTCAAACAGGAGCTGGTTGTGTTGGAGCTTGCTGGTTTGGAGCTGGTTGGGTGGGAGCTGGTTGAGTTTGATTTTTTGGTAAATTGAAGCAAGGATCAATCCAATATCCATTCCAATTTAACACCTTACCAGGTGGACCTATTAATAATGATGAGTGATGAGTTGAATTTTTTTCTCTTTAATTTATTTGATTTGATCAGATTTACTTACCATACATACAATCAACACTAGGTAAACTGTTTTCTTTACAATTTTTGTCTATGGGGAGGCAAAATTTTCAAGAAAGTAGATTTAGTCAACTTTCTATAAGTTGATATGTATGAGAAGCTTGATTTACTTACCACAACAAATCTAAAAATTCAAAACCATCATAAGATTATTTTCAAAAAAAATGGAAGGATTTTCATTGATCAGTAAATGATTTGTGGTATTTCAAAAAAAGAAGTGAAAATATAGAATTTGAAGGGCCTCTTTCAAAGCATTACTTACTTCTCTTACCTTCACCCTGAACTGTTGAGGTGATTTTTGATCTCCTTTTGGAAAGATACTGTAAAGGAATGTATTCAATGAATTACAGGCACCATTATCTGTAGCATTATATTGCCATGTAGACTTAGGATAACCCATTGTATCTCCCTGTGCTGGATCCTTAAGTGTTAAATCCATTGTAGGATCACTACAAGTACCACTAGCTTGAATTTGTTGGCCAGATCCCTGTTGGCCATATCCCTGTTGGACATATCCCTGTTGTCCATATCCTTGTTGGGAATATCCTTGTTGGCCATATCCCTGTTGTCCATATCCTTGTTGGGAATATCCTTGTTGGGAATATCCCTGTTGACCATATCCTTGTTGGCCATATCCCTGTTGACCATATCCTTGTTGGCCATACCCTCCTTGGCCATATTCTTGTTGGCCATACCCTTGTTGCATAGATCCTTGTTGACCATATCCTTGTTGCATAGATCCTTGTTGACCATATCCTTGTTGCACAGATCCTTGTTGACCATATCCTTGTTGACCATATCCTTGTTGCACAGATCCCTGTTGCATAGATCCTTGTTGACCATATCCTTGTTGCATGGATCCTTGTTGACCATATCCTTGTTGCATAGATCCTTGTTGACCATATCCTTGTTGCAAAGATCCTTGTTGCATATTTCTCCTTTGGATATCTCTTCTTTGCATATTTCCTTGTTGCATAGATCCTTGTTGCCCATATCCTTGTCCCATATTTTGCTGTCCCAGATTCCCTCCTGGTAGCTGACAAGTTCCATCTCGCCCCCAAGATACTCTCACTTCACCTGCAAAGTCTGGATCTGCTTCTGCCCATTTGAATTTTATGATTGCAAATTCTGATTTGGTTTCCTTTAGCTATTGAATGTTTAATGAAAGTGGTTAATCATTAGCTATAGGGATTTTTTATTCCTATTTTGTTTTTATCTCACTTACCATAAGGAAGAACATATGGGAAAACACTAAAGTAGAATGTAAGATCATCTTCTTTGTGAATCCTGGTTTGTGTCTGAAATAGTAAAAAAGAATTTGATTTGATTTGTATGCTTGATGCCTGATAACGTATATTGAATATTTACAAAGGTTGATAATGTGGGTTAAATAATTCGTAAACTTGGGATAAGTATGAGATTTTAAGATAAAAAAATGAAGCTCGTCGTTTTATCAAATATGGGCACAGAAGTTTCATCGATCAGCTAATCAATCCCTGTTTCAAGGATTTCATGAGTGAGCGGAAAGAGTAAGGAGTTGATTGGTTATTCCACCTCTTTATGACTTTACTTCGCCGAGACTCGTCATGAAAATTACACCGAGCTTGGAAGAAGGTATCGTAGAGATCATCGGTAATTCAACGGTGTGATAAATCCGAAGAAGGGATCAAAAATAATATTCATAACTTCGTTTCACGATGAACTCATCAACGAAGTCGATGGCGCTCCTTCGGTTCCATCGAGGCTTCCCCCATTGAAAATCGAGATGTCCTATAATTCTCACTGATCTCCATCGAACACCTGGCGGTGCCACCGATTTCTTTTCATTCAGAATCAAGTTTATACCTTTGATTCAAGGGATGGTCAAAACATGTAAAAGGCTCAAAATCACGGGTTCCGACTAGATCGCCATGATATCTAGGTGTGATAGTTATCTTTTCTTGACTTCTTTAAATAGTTTTATGCAATTGAGCAGGTCTGCACTTTTCAAGAAAACATGAAGGAGACTGCGATGAACGGCTAGCGATGTTTGAACGTTCACCCAAAAAAATCTTGATCATGATTAATGTTTTTCTCGTGATTTGGGAAAGCGTCCATCGGTGAAAGCTTGACACATATATAGTGGGGTTGAAGTTGGCCAAAAAGTGCCTAAAACTTTGGATACTTCGGCCTCCCAGCCATTAAAGATTCAGTTTTTTTAGGGTGGTAGCCAATTATACTTACGAATAGCCTAAGAACGAGTTCGTAATAGGATCCCTGACTAGTAAGTAATCCGCTGGTTACGGGGAATAGGTACGTAGTTAGTATCTACTGGTTTTAAAGAAAGACACCGCTAGTTAGTATTGTTAACTAAGCTTTGTTCTTTTGAAACGGATATTGGTCCAAGGCCCACTGTTTAGATAACAGAAGACAGGTGGTCAAGCTTGCGCCTGGAGTTAACTCTTAAACTCGAGAGTTTAGAGTAGCCCAAATTTTTAACATTATGGGGATTTGACCAACAAAGGAGAAGTCTGACCAACCTAGGTTAGCGGAACAAGTCTTGAGAGATAGAACTTCGAGAAAACACGGTAAAAGGACTGATAGCTGGGATGCGGGTAATAACAATGGAGCAGTGAGTACTAAGAAATAGGTGTTTTCTAAAGATCTAGTTTCCAAGAAAAGATTCAACACTCATATAATGGTCAATAAAGCAAGGGGTTTCTTTTAACAAGGAATTTTGAAATAGGAGCTGGTAAAGTATTCTGTTGGGAAGGAGCTTTAAGAGCTAGAATTTGTAAAGGTAAATTTTAGAGGTGATCTAAAACTAATAATGGTTGAACAAGGGGTCACCATTGATAGTTGAAATATTCCCGCTTGTCCCCATTACCCAATTGCACTTGAGAAAACCAATGAAATATATAGATGGATGGATTTTGTAACTGTAGACTTCATCACGGCCTTTATGGGAAGGGTCCAAGTTCTCTCCTCACTCCTTCTGACCTACATTGATCCTCAAAGCATAATAAAGTCTAGATCAGACAAATATGATGGCATCATAAAATTTACAAGTTTGATGCTATAACCATATAAATGTAGGGTGTTGAGATTATTTACCAGGTATCAGGTGCACACACCACCAATGCACCAAGAAGTGAATGATAAAATTGAAAGAACCTTACCGCTGTTGTATGTACTCCTCACGGATATATCTGTTTGTTTGTTTGCTTGTTGTGCATGTATAACTCAAATAAGATCTTTACAAACAATGTTGAAAACTCAATTCAAAAAAGACAAACTGATAAAAAAAGATTACTTTCATATAATGTATGCTGACTTCTTCCTTTCTCTTTTCTTACTTGATCAATCATCTCATACATCTCATACATAAGTTCCATGTAATTTGTAAGTCTCTTTTTGTTCTCCGATCTTATGCCAGAAAAGATTGAATAAAGATTATAAATCTCCTGCTCCTCCTTCAAAGTCTTCAAATCCGTGTTCTATTGATCACATCAGAAACAGTAATATCAAGATTAGTTTCAAATGGAAAAAAAGATTAGTTAGACTGCTAGAGTTCGAACGCTTAGAATAAAAGACGGGTATGAAATGAACAACAGCGTACCAACTAAATAATTGGCTGCCATTTCCTCATTTTTATCGCAAGCAAAATAAGCTTGAATCGCCAATTGACGTTCAAATCCCATTCCAACTAGCCTATCAATAGCTTCTTGTTCTTCAGGTGTGACTTGAACATATTGAGCACCAGTTCCATCACCACCACCTAAACCAGGAGGAAAACCACCTTCATCCATCCCAAAGTCACCAGCTTGATCTGCTCCTTCAGATAAAAATCCCATTAAAAGTTCAGGATTAGCTGAAAGTTGAGCTAACAAAGCTGGATTTGATTGTCCAAGTTGTTGCATAAATGGTTGTAAAAGTTGTGGATTCGTTTGAACTAATTGTCTTAATTGAACCATTTGGGGATTGTTTCGTAAACTTTCAAGTACTCGAGACGTATTTGCTGTTGCACCTGCTGCACCTGCTGGCGCTGCAGCTGGAGTAGCTGCAGCGGCTGGTTGACGTTGTTGAGCCACATGTTGGGCAGCAGCTTCAAACAAATTTCGGGATGCGGTAGTAGGAGCGACAGGAGCAGGAACGGCATTCGCTCCTGGTGTTGGTGCAGTTGCAGTTGCAGGGGTAGGAGCACCGGCACGAGGAGCGGCTGATGGTGGTAGGGCATCGAGACCAGCTGGGATACCCTAGATGAACAACAAGAGTCAGAGACAAAGTATCACTCAGAAATCTATCTAAAAGCAAAGCATTCTGACCGTCATCAAATATTCGACTGCCCGATCTGGGTTGTTGAACGCAGCTCGCATAGCTTTCACTACCTCCTCTCTGGGGAAACCCATTCCATTGACAATCTCATCAATTGTTGTTTGAAGACCAGATCCAGTGAGAAAACCAGGATCTTGAGTCCCTGGCGCTACGGCAGGGGTGGAAGAGTCCACCGCAGCTTGAGGTTCGGTAGTAGTAGCAGGAGTACTTTCTGGATTCGCAGATGGGGTTGAGGTAGCTGGAGGTGCGGCAGGGGTTGAGGTTTGAACTGGTGCACTTGTAGAGGAAGGAACAGCGGCTGCGGAGGTAGATGGTGCTGGTACTGTAGGAGCAGTCTTTGGCTAAATAATGAAAATGATAATAAAAGAAAGGCGTAGAAATATGATTGGTTAGCAAATCGAAATTCGGACTCGGAAGACAAAATCAAATCTTGATTCTGATCAGAAACCAAAAGATAAAAGAAATTTAACAAACTTTCATAAGCATGATTACGAAAAAATCCTTCTCTTTTACTTCAATATCTGAAATCAATTTTTCATCACTTAAAATCTTACCGCTAAAGATGATTTTTTGTAATTCAGGTTCAAAACCTTGCGATTCTTTAATTTGTAATTTTAAATTAGCAATAGTAATAGAAGGTTCCACATCTAATACGAACTGCTGCTTTTGCAGCGTTTCTAATAAGAAAAGAGAATAGAAGAAAGTCAGATGTTGGTTTTTGAAGATAGATTAGAAGAATATGAAGAGATACTAACTGAAGGTGAGCTTCATGTGAGATGTTTGATATGTTAAGGTGGTTTGTAGTTTGATTGAGGATTGAGTCGGTTGGATTGAGATTGGGATTGATTGTCGATCGGTTTTTAGGAAAACGCTGACGAACAACAAGTCAAATGTCACACGAACTGTATCAAACATTACACAGATCCTTTCATCGATCTGGAAAACTCGACTTGAGCATCTTCAAATCATCTCACTTTCCACCAGAATCCAGACTCCATGCACCTCCATCAGCTTCTTTCTTCATAAGTGTTGGTTCTGTTTAATGAGTCAAGCTTCCATTCCCATTCCATTGATCTGGTGGTTCTGCTCTCATCCTTTTCGGTATCAAGGTCTTTGTTTGTGTCTTCCGAGCTGGAACTTTATCTTGCTTTTTTTATATGAACAACAATGACATGGAGGTTTCTTGACTTTCTGCGGTTCTCTCGTGTTGCTGAGATATGAAACCAAAAGAAAATTATATTACAATGCCGTTGATACATTCCTACACCACAGGATCGATTCATCATTGGTCCTTCGGTGAATTATTTTGTATAGGCAATTAGCGGTATACATTTGAGACCAACGCAGCCGGTAATTCACCAAAGCTCTTTACTGTGGTGAAGGTAAACAAATATCACTCACGGATGTTCACCATGATTGATTCATGAGTGTTCATCAAGAGTAGCTTACAATGAACCACCATTATGACCCCTATAAAATCATCGTAATCGAGTTATGGTCATTGCTTGGTGATTATTCATATGTGATAAACAATAGCAATTCATGATGACAATTCATGTCTTCTTGTGGATAATCATTGTAAAAACTCATGATGAGTCTCCAAAAATTGCTCCTGGATTGTTAATGGTCCATGGTGGCTTGCCATGAAGATCCAAGGTTATTAAATGTGATTTCTTTTTGGTGTTATGAACACAATTTAATGATGATTCCTATGGAGCCCAATGAAATGTATGCATACAAACAAATAAGTAGATGGAAGCAAAATCTTGAGACACAAATATATGCAAATAGGAAAAGCAAAGAGAGTAAAAACTTGGTATATTACTTTGATATGAGTAAACATGATACAAAAGAAACATTGAAGTCGAGTGGGATTAGTATCAAAAAGTTAAAGTTGATTTGACAACTGAAAGTGGTAAACAGATTAACAAGGCTTAAGATGTAAATTGGAAAGGGTCAACAGGATGGTTTTACAAAATCAAAGAAAGCTGGAAATCTTTGGCTTTTTTAATTCATCAGTCATCTATGTAGTATGGATCTGGACCATATTATGAATCAATCAAGTTGTGTTGGGTTTGAATCAACCCCAAAGATCACTTGGAAGAAATGATTTGTGAGATAGCTATGAATATTTGTAGATCATGATGTGGTCAGTTTTTGACCAGGTTTGAACTGGAGGTCAAAGAGGGTCAAAGATTTTATACCAAGGTATCAGATGATGTCATCAACAGCACCATATTACAGCATATGTTTCAGAATAGTGGCCAACTGCATAGCTAGTAAAGATTGTTGTATCCATGGTTAAACCATGACATCCTTGTGCAGATTCAATCATCAGGTAATTATGGCAATTCTTATAGGTGCTCAAACTCTGTTGGAATTCTGGCTGGTTCATGGCTTTCATTTAGCTTTGCAATCACCAACATGAGATTTGCTTGTGGGTGGGTCTGAGGATGTTTTCACCAAGCTATCATGTGATGTTGATGTGAAATTTCAATACAAATCACGGTGAAAGCACTTTGGTAGGTTCACATGGTTTGAACTAACAATCAATCACCAGCATCTCTGGATCCCAACCACACTCACACTCAGAATTGAACCTGTGGTGTAAAAGCAGGAGATGAATGTACGACAGCTCATTCTCAGAGTTTACCTAAACTTATCACCTCCAACTTGCATGTTCTATAGGCCAAGGGTAAGAACTTTTACAGAGAGCTTCCTTGCAATCCCTCTACACCTTTCCCTACCAAAGATTCTTGTCTGGATCAAAGACAAAAGTTTCATGCCTTATTCTTGCGCATAAGGTGTAGTAATTTTTTCCTCTTGCCTCAAATGCCTCCCAAAGTTTGGGGCTCAACCCACCTGTAGTAGGTAACTTTTTGTGTCTCTCTACTGCAATTCATGTTTGCCTTATGGTTTTGCTTAAGCATTAAGCTTGTGTACCTTGGACATCACAAACCTGGGGCATTGATGTGAGGGTTGAGCCATTCAGAATGGTCTTTGTACATCAGGAAATCAATGCAGGTGCATTATTAGGGGTTGGGCGAAGCGCTGCAAAGCTCTAAGAGAGACAAATGACTATGATTTTATGAGTACAAAAGCCTCAATAACAATACAGTTTGATAACACAAAGAGACAGGCAAACAAATCACAACACGGCACATCTATATACCTATAAAAAAGAACTAATAAATTGTAGCATATAGAAAACTGTAATCTGTGGATAAGGAATACCCTGGAACACCTGATTACAAACAAATACTTGAGCACTTTTCAGATATGTAATTACAACCAAATATCCAACCAAGCACCCAGGCAAATTTGGTGAGGATTAATGGATGATCCCGTTTAACTTGAGCCAAAACGCGTAACACCGATGAAGCTTTGAAAATATTTCAAGTTTAACTTTAGATTTTACCACTTCACAAGATATCATTAATAGGAAATCTGGGAGAACGCCCACATTGAACTGAACAGTTTATACGAGGTTTTCTGTCATTGATTTCGACCGCTATGCCCAGTCTCCGGATTGGGATGTGTCATTAATACATTAAGGGAATCTACAAACTTCTATGAAGTTTTTACATACATATCCTATTTTGCACGTTTGTAATTCTGCAAGAGCATGCAAAGGTTTGTTGGTGGAACTGATCTCATGGATTTGGAAGATTCTATAACTTTTTAGATATCAAGTAAACGTTTCATGAGATGAGGAACAAGCATGAACTTTTGATTTCAATTGAACTTTATGCATCATGCTTGTAACACATGTAAATTTTCAAGAATCCCAATCAATGGCCGTATGCTAAAAGATGTGAATGAATTGCTGGATTCCCTGCAAGCTCCGTAAATTCGATAAACGTCTATGATTTACTAATTTCATCACTTCACTATTTTCTGTGTTAAAGTTTCAGACTTTGGAAGTACGATGTAAGAACTATGAACGACACAGCACGTAGTTTTGTATATTAAGATACGAGTATATTTCTGATCCAGCTTGTCTTGAATCAAATCATTAGACCTGATTGATGCCAAATTAAAATTTCATTACATCAAAATGTCCATCTTTGATAGAGAGGTAGACATAATTATTTGTGGTGGAGGTGAGTATGTCATAATTGTATACTTTATAAGCCTTTGTAAATGAGATTTCGATTTCTTCTTTCTATAGGTTCGGCTGGATCAGTAATAGCAGGTAGACTAGCAAGAGCAGACCCTTCACTTGAGATTCTGGTTATTGAAGCTGGAATGAATAATCTCGATCATCCAAAAGTCATCAAACCAGCCATGTATCTTTCTCATATCGCTCCTAACAGTGATACTGCTTTCTTTCATCTTGGAAGGAAGAGTGAGCATTTGAACGGTCGTGCGCCTATTGTTCCAACTGGGAAGATACTGGGTGGGGGAAGTAGTATCAAGTAAGTAAAAAGTGACATTGAAAAGTCTAGCGGTGTTCTTGAGAACGAGGAGGATTAGAGGTGATTTGAGATTGAAATGATGTTGTGCTATCTTTTTTTCTTCAATCAGTTTTATGATGTACACCAGAGCAAGCGGTTCAGATTATGATGATTGGAAACAGCCTGGATGGTCAGCCGAAGACTTGGTACCATTGATGAAAAAGGTTGGCCAAACCATCTCCTATCCATTCAAATAATATGCCACACAAAACATTATTCTGACAGGAGACATCTTCAGACCGAAACCTTTCATACGGAAATCGGTGACCCTGGACTTGTTCATGGGTTTGAAGGTCCATTACACATTTCTAGGAAACAAACTGGAAAATTAGGAGAAGAGTTTTTCAAAGTATTGCATGAATACGGTGGGATCCCACAACATTTGGATTTACAGGGTCAGAGTGATAATCGTTTTGTTTGAAAGACTCTCGCAAAGTGTTCTAATCCGATTATACTCTACAGACTTCAAATCAGGTCACGGCGTACAACGATGGGACAAGGTATCTCAATCAGACTTTTCGCACCCGGGTTAATGAATCAAACTGATATCATGGTACAAACATTAATATCAAAATAGTGGATAAACCCTATCACAGGCCGCAGATCCGACGCCGCTCATGGATTCATACATCCTGCGATGCGAGAAAATTCCAACTTGCAGCTTTTGGTACATACCAGAGTCAAGAAGGTGTTATTCGAGTTGAGTTTTACGTACTTCAAGAAAAGTGTGGCAATTCATTTTGGCTCACAAATTTGTATTTGGAATATTACAGGGACAATGTGGCCGAAGGTGTTGAATGTTTGACTGAGATACCTGGAGATCCAACAGGTCCTTATTCTCAATCAATCAAAGCTAGAAAGATGGTCGTAATATCTGCAGGAGCTATTTCATCTCCACAAATTTTACAAAGATCTGGAATTGGATCAAAAGGTTTTCTTGAGAAGCTTGGAGTTCAAAAAGTGATATCTGATCTTCCAGGTGTTGGTCAAAATTATCAAGATCATCAGTTACTACTCATTCCTTATAAAGCATCGGATGATACGGAGAGCCTAGATGAATTACTCAGGGCTGAACCTTCAACATTAGTTCGCTGGGAAGATGATTTCACGAGAGGCGAGGGGGGTATGACTTCGAAGTGAGTATGTGATTTGGCAAAAAGAGGGTAAATTTTGAGCTTTCTAAATTGACTCAGCTCTCCTTTGATATGCAAGCTGGGTTGATGTTAGCGCAAAAGTACGGCCAAATGTGGAAGAGCTGAAAGGTCTTGGGCCCGACTTTCAACAAGCTTGGAAAGACATGTTTGCCGATGCTCCAGACAAAGTATAAAACGTTCACACCTCTTGATCACTTCCTGAAGAACATTATAGCTGATCAGAGATTCAATAGCCTGTTGCAGTGACAGGAATAGTTGGTTGCTACACCGGAGATCCGCTAGAAGTACCCAAAGGCAAATAGTATGTTTGAGACTGCTGAATTATCAAAAGACAATGTAGCTCGTTTTTGATGACTTGAACTTCTACCACCAGCTTCACCGTTTTTTCTTATTCAGCATACCCACTCAGTATGGGATACGTAAACATCACCTCACTTGAAGACCTTGATTCACCACCAGATTTTGATCCAAAGTTTTTATCATCGTAAGAAATTCCTAACAATATCATCATCTTTTCCAAAAATCAAACAAGAACAAATCTAATTGGAGACAGTTTTGTTTTTTGAAAGGCCTGCTGATCTCTCTCCACATGTATGGATGTACAAGAGGGGACGAGAATGGTGCCGTAGATTACCTTCTTTTCGAGGAGAAGTAGAAGTGGGACATCCCAAATTTGCTACCAATTCAGCTGCATATTGTAATATAGGCTCGGACCAAAACAAAAACTATGATGAAAATTCATCAAAAAGTGAAGAAATCCAAGATATCATTTATTCTGAGGAAGATGACAAAGTGATCGAAGATCACATTCGAAATACCCTTCAAGTAGGTTATTCTCAGCCATTTTCAATGGATTTCCAAAGTCATAAATTAACTTGTTTTGGATGTGGTGCTGGGTTTCTTAGACAACATGGCACTCCCTAGGTACTTTGGCAATGAAACCAAGGGAAAAAGGAGGTGTAGTTGATTCTTGCTTAAACGTTTACGGAACTCGTCACTTGAAGGTCGCCGATTTGAGTATATGTCCGGGTAATGTAGGAGCAAACACCAATAGTACAGCACTCATGATTGGGGAGAAAGCTGCTGTTTTGATATTGGAAGACCTGGGTCTTGTAGCTTTATGATTTCTCGAGTGAAGGATATTGTTGTTCAAGGTTTGTGTTCTTGAGCTTCCCTTGGTGTTTATCCGTTTTTTTCTCTTTTCTGGCGACAAACAAGCAAGACAGAATCGGCACAATGTAATAAACGAGTTGGATCGTGATAGTTTTTTCAAAGTTACCAAGTGTACGTCTCAACCTCATGCGGGGAGCTTTTCAAAAGTAAAAGATTGAAATTTGAGAGTCATTATCATTCGTATATGATTTTCAGTTTGGCTTCAACCTTTTGAGGTTCCTAGAGCTCTTGGACTTCAAGACAGAGCCCCAGAGAAGGTCAAAAACAAGCAATCGCAGTATTACGCCTAACTCTTCACTTTATATAGTGGGTGTGTTGTGAGAATCTCATGATGGATTAATCAGTTATGAACTGTAATTCTGATGTGGTCAAACAAGATACTCGTCATAAAGACGAATCAATTCATAGAAAAAAATAGAAAAAGAGTAAAAGAGTAAAAGAGTAAATACTACAAGAACAAGATTATCCAAAAACCACTGCATACTAAGATAAAGAAACCACTATCCAAATGAATCCAATCCAACTGATTTCATCCTTTAATTATCAAAGAGAACCAAATAAATCCCTCATCTCCACATTGATTCAAGTCCTATTGATAGGACTTTCTTCAATATGAATCTCCAAAACAGGTCCCTCCTCTACATCCATAGGATAAATCCAATCAACTTCAGACTCGTCAGAAGCTGACCGATTTTCTGAACGAGAAAAATAATCCCCTGGTCCTTCAAATGATCCATGAACCCTATCAGATGGTCGAGGTCCAAATACCCCATCTTGGTATCGTTGTGAAATCCTTTGAAATAGATTTAACAATGATACTGGTATAACTCGGGGTACCCTTTGTTCGACTGGTTCATTGGTTTCTGAACCCCAACTTGTAATGGGTGAGTCATTAGTTGGCGTATTGACGTCTTTTTTTAAAAAAAGTTTAAAACAGTTTGTATATCGAAATCAGTTCTTGGAGTTATTCAGGTTTGATAACACAAATATAAAAAATACTTACCGCCTTCTGAGCCGGTTCCAGATGGGATCTCAAGTTCTCTTTGGTATGAACCAGGCGTAAAGATCCCATGTTGGTGTTGGCGCGAAGGCAACTCTATCAATAAATCTAAACAACGAAAAGAAAAAGGATCAAGTTCAGCCTGAATCACAAGCAAGAATGAAATGAAACAAAAAAAAAAGTTTACTAACGTTTAAGGATAGGATCATCACGAAGTGAACTTGTCATCTCCGACTCCACTTGAGAGTTTCCATGATTGGAAGACGAGAGATTTTGAAATTCCTCAATGTTTCGTGAGGAAGAAGATGGATCAACTTGGTAAGAGTTCATATTATAAAATTGATAAATATGAAGCGAAAAAAAAAGTTGATGAAATGAGGAAAAATGAATAAGAAAAAGTTGGTATTGCAAGAGAAGTGTTGTTTTTTTAGAAAAAAAATGGATGGGAAATTTGATGAGAAGATGATTTTGAGAAAACAAGAAAGTTAAGATTGGGGTTCTGATGCTTATTGATGTTTTTCGAGTGAGTTTGCGAAGATTTTATATGAGAAATATAGGTGGTAAGAGCACATTTGGCTACTCTATGGCATCCGCCCTGTTGAAGACTCCGTCGCAGGACTTGACCTCATCATGTTGAAGTGTTCCTTATTTTTGACGCACGAGTGCATCAGGTCGGCACAAAATGCTCGCGTTCTTAGTCTCCAACCACATGGACGCTCTGTTCCATGACCTGAACCTGATGCACAGGTAAAAATCAATCAAGCCTTTTTTTATGCTCAAACGAAAGGCACAAAACATCAAGCTGCGACTTTTGAATCTGCGACCTGTTCAAGCGACTTTAAGGTATGTTCGGAAAGGTTATCCCAGTGATACCCTAGTTCTCCTTGGAAAGGGCAAAGAAAATGATGATCGAGAGATATACCCTTGGGTTGCCAGACAGGCATGTCGAAGAAACCAGGTCGAGGAATGAGAAATGAGTCCTTCATAGAGGCCTTTTCTCCAGGGGTAAACAGAACGATGAACCATTTTTCTACGAGTCATCTTTTGGATTTGAGCAGTGGTGTACTCAAGTTACATCCGCTGATAATGGAACCAGCGGGAACGGTGGTCATTGGATTTGGAATCGGTGCTTGAACAGTCATGATCTGCGCGGTCACGTCGGCAGTGGACGTGGTGAACCAGCGGCGACCAAAAAAACGTTGGTAAAATCGAACCAAAGTCGGTACAGCCCCGGTTTTCAGCCAGGATTCAACCGGGTATACCGTATCATCACAATTACTCCACAAAAAGGGGTCTCGTGGTGAAGGGAGAGATGGGCAGGACCAAAAATATCTATGAATGTTGATAAGGGGAATAAAATATAGTAATAGGTTTCTCCAAAAATATCGCAAGAATACCCGGAAAAGGTATTTCTGAATACTTTAAGTAAAGACAATCTGAAAGTGTGAAGACACAACGTTCTGAATCATACACACATTTTATAAAGTTAAGTAAAATGAGAAAATTATCCGTCTTCTTGAAAAGAAAACAGTCATGGTGAAAAGCTGAATAAACCTCTAACAATTCTTCATCCTAAGCGTATTCTTTTGTAAAACCAAACTTCTTAAAACCTTTGAATAAGTAAACATAAGTACCAAAAGAAACGTAATAGGACAAGCTAATTTCCAAAAACTAAAGCCAAAAAATCCCAACCAAAGAAAAATCATTCTTAATTTGGTTTCATTCATTCATTTTTCTCTTTCGATTAAAAAATCATCTGATTACTTACAATAGATCTGATCCTTGAATAGCTCCAAACTCCACAAAGTTCATTCCAAAGTACCCCGTTAAAAAAGTCAAAGGTAAAAAGATAATCGTCACAATACTAAGTTGTTTCATTGATTCATTAGTCGAAAAACTCATCGTATCTATTTATTTATCAAACCCCCCCCCAAAAAAAAATCACAAACAAACAAAACAAAACGTCATTTAGAAAATAAAGTTATTGATAAAAGTGATGAATTCAAACCAAAAAGAGCTTAACTAAAAGTGAAATCAACTAAATTAGATGCCCATCCACTAAACAGTTCTAAAGAACTTAACAAACTATCAATATGATCCAAAACATCTGAAAGATAAACCTACAAGCACCACATCCTTCAACACTTTCTTCAAATCCGATCATAAAACAAAAAAAACTTACTCGAGCTTGAGGGGAAATGAATCCAGTGGAATTGGATGAACTACTGTTAGTGATGAATGTGGGATCATCTAAATTAGAAGCTGATGAGCCTCTAACAGGCTTAGATCGACCTGTGATCCTTTCATCACTTGGATCATGGTTTCGAATCCGATGTACCAAGCTCGAAAGTGGTGTGAGTGTGCGCTTGAGCAACAAAAGTTCACCTGAAAGTACATGAACTATCGATCGAAGAGATCCCATCAATAACCAGTATTTTAATATCTTCTATGATATGAAGGGGGAGGGGGACTGACGATGACGAACAGTGTCTAATTTCGGATTGACCAAGACTGCAGCTTCAAGACTGGTAAGCCTAGATCGAAAAGCTTCTACCACATCTAATGCTTGATCTACAATCAAATCTAAGACGGCTTGTAAAAGCATTGAAGCATCAGATGTTGAACGTAATAATGTATCAGATGAACGAAGTCGATCGAGTAAAGGGACCACCGTCCTAGATCCATCGTGTGAAAAGATCGTAATCAATGTACCTATGATATATACCACATGATATTAGTCATTCGAAATAGACTAGATTCATAGTCAAGAAGGATAACTTACCACCACGGAGTAGAAAGATTGAAAGCTTTTCAGCATGGATTCGTAGTTTGTATTCACTAGTAAGTCGACGTACAACCTCACGTTCTGCATCAAAGACTTCCTGTCAAATCAAAAAACACTCAAAACCATTTAGTTTGAGATTGTCAAATGATCCTTAATTGAATTGTACACGTGACCAACCTTACCCGCCATTGATAACCCACCGGTTACAGTACCCAGATCCATCATAGCCATTGGAGCTGGACGCTTCCCCGAAAGATGATGAGGTTCATTAAGATTATCAACATTACTAGGATCTTGATCTGGATCAATAAGATTTCCATTTTCTAATGGATCATCCGTATCCACCTTAGTAGAGCTATTAGTAGTATTGATTCTATTTGATGAACCATCTGATTGATCATCAACAAGTGTATGAACTGCAGCATGAACAAATAAATGATGTTTATAATATTCACTTTTAGAACGTGCTGAAGTATGAACACAATCTTCTACTGCTAATGGATGTAATTGATATTGAAGTGCTAATAATTTAATCACATCCCAATTAAGACCCTATTAATAAAAGACCATGAAGAAGTTTAATTTTCTTTTCTAATTCCCTAAAAAACCATCAAGAGATTTCAAGAATGATTCAATTCTTACATACATTCACATTGATCCATCGTACACGAGACCAACTAGGACGAGACCGATGAAGTGAATGTTTAAGTCGATCAAGTTCTTGTTGACAATCAGGTCTAAATTTCAAAAAATTCACTTGATCTTCTGAATAATCTACTAAATCTACACTAACAGATGTTTTAAGTAAATGAGAAAGTTGTGGTTGTGGTTGATTTGCATTCACACCAGGTTCCATGGATCCAATCGAATTCCATTGATATCTTAATGAAGATGATTGGATTCTTTGGGTTGGTATTTGATGATTGGTTGTTGAACTTGAACCTGATACGATTCTTTGGGCTGCTGATACTACATGTGCTGCTGCTTTAAATCTTTGCTTAACTTGACCATTTCAAAGGAATTTCAGTTAAAGTTTTAAATTTCCAGTAAACCACCGATTTCTTTAACATGATATCATGGATTCTAACTCACCAGTGGATGCGGTAGGATCGGTAGATGATCGATTCGATCGGTAATGGTCACCGTCCGCATGAAGTGGTTGACCTACAGCACTGAGACTAGGAACTGTTAATAGAAAAGACCGATTCAGTAGTGAATGGTCTCAAGAAGATGATACTTATGAATAGTTAGTTACCTCTTCTATCAGATGTTGCACCATAATTTAAGATGGGTTGATGGTTTGGTTCTTGTAATAAACTATTTTCATTTGGATCATCACTCTGACTCATGATTTTGTTGATAAAGTTTATGGTTTCAAATTTAAGCTTACTCTTGGTGACATCATCCTTTGATACTCGATTTCTATTGACCCGTTCATATCGGGGCAGCTTGGTCAAGCTGAAGCAATCAAAACAACTTTGCAAAAGAAATGTATGTATCAAACCATTTCTTTTTGAGATCATGGTATTTCCGCCTCATTATCTTGATGATCATAACTTCACCTTCTGTTTGTCACAGGAATGAATTGTGGCTATCAGATCATGAAGTGAAAGGGTCGAAATATGAAACCAACAAGGAATTTTTGATCAAGGCTTGAGAGTCAAGATCAGTTTGTTTTACCGATCTATGAGGAAGATGGAAGATTCATGTCCTCTTTTTGATCCCAAAACAACAAGATGTTGTACTTTTTCACCACGACTCCAGTCCACCAAAGGATACAACCAATTTCATTTGACCTGAACTGACAATTTACCATGAAAATCATTTCGAATATCTTTTTTTTGAAATAAGTTGATGAAGAAGTGATTTATAGAAAAGGCGTGATCCAAGAAGAAGAATGACGTGATCAACCTCAGAACAGTCAGCTATTGTAGTCTTATTACCAACCAAATCCAATTTTCTTAACATATTCCTGATTCGATCATGACAAATTATCCACTAGATTATATTTTTAATCACAGAATGGCATCATTTTGGTTCATGTTTACTTCTTGTATAAAATGAACCCTTCGGTTTACAAACTCTTGATCATGTTTCCTTCGCTTGTTTTTCTGGCTTGAGTCTGATCCTCAATTGCTTTCTTCGAGCTCATTTTGCTTTCTTAGAGATACAATAACTTTTGGAATCTAGTCTTGATATCTATTGAACTTGATCGTCTTATTGTAGCGCTACCTATCAAATCACTCTTCATCTTCCAGACCTTATCTCTTCTAAAAAGCTCTTAAAACACCAATCACTGCTTATCAAGAATGTCACCAACACCACATGGTGGAATCTTATGCGACCTTCACAGTCGAGATTCTTCCATCAGATCAGAATTATTAACCGAATCTAAAAACTTACCATCTCTAATCTTATCAGAAAGATCATTATGTGATTTAGAATTAATCATGAATGGAGGTTTTAGTCCTTTAAAAGGTTTTATGAATCAAGAAGATTACCACAGTGTTTTACATCAGCTTCGATTATCCAATGGAATTCTTTGGTCAATTCCTATTACACTAGACATAACTGATGCAAAAATCAAATCACTTTCGATTAGATTAGGATCTCGAATCGTTTTAAAAGACCCACGTGATCATACTTCTTTGGCTATTATGACGATTAATTCGATATGGAAACCTAATCAAATTGAAGAATCAGAAAAAGTCTTTGAAAGTACTGATCAACTACATCCCTCAATTTACTATTTATTTAATTCGACTCATTCGAATTATATAGGAGGAGAAATCCAATCGATAAACTTACCGATCCATTACGATTACCAATCAATCCGATTCACACCTTTTCAACTTCGTCAAAGGTTTCAAGACCTTTCATGGAACAAAATCATTGCTTTTCAAACCCGTAATCCAATGCATAAAGCTCATGTAAACTTAACATTAAGAGCTTCATTAGAACATCAACATGGTAATTTATTGATCCATCCGGTCGTAGGTCTAACTAAACCTGGTGATATTGATTATCATACTAGAGTTAAGGTTTATAAAGCTGTTTTGGAAACTTATCCTAAGGGATTGGCTACTTTGGCTTTGTTGCCTTTGGCGATGAGAATGGCGGGTCCAAGAGAAGCGGTTTGGCATGTATGTAACTTAGTTGCTTTTTTACGAGTTTTCTTGTTTTTTTTTGGTGGAATGGTTTTTCTGATTTTGTTTCTATTACCTTTTTGGGGGTTTCTTTTATAGGCTATCATTCGTCGAAATTATGGTGCAACTCATTTCATCGTAAGTAGAAAAAAATTCATCTTGAAATAAGTTGAAGAATCTGATTTAATTTTCTTAAACTTTTCATATATTGTAGGTAGGAAGAGATCATGCAGGACCGGGAAAATCATCTAAAGGAACCGATTTCTATTCACCATACGAAGCACAATCATTGGTAAAAAAATACCAAAACGAACTAGAAATCAAGATGATCCCATTCGGCTCAATGATTTATTTACCAGAAAGTGATGAGTATAAACCGATTCAAGAGATCAAAGATGGAATCCAAACAAAAGATCTTTCAGGTACTGAACTACGAAGGTTATTACAGAATGGGGATGAGATTCCTACTTGGTTTTCATTTTCATCTGTGATTAAGATCTTAAAAGAAGCTTATCCTCCTAAACACAAACAAGGATTTGTTAGTACGTAAACCTTACCAAAAGAAAAAAATCCATGAATTTTTTTAAACTCACTTATCCTTGTTTTGTTTTTTGGATAGTTTTTTTAACAGGGCTTGATAGATCAATAAAAACGAACCTATCAAAAGCACTAGAAACAAGTCTTCAAGAAACCTCCAGTAGATCCATAACTCTTCTCACCAACTCCTCACCACCAACACTCAACCAAACTGAAGAAAACTCAGACCCAGAAAGACTTCAAACCCATGCCTTTCTTTGTGCTGAGTTATGTAAATCTGGATCGGCTGTGATTAGTTCTTCGAATCTCACATCAAAAGAAATTAACAGAACATACCTTTTAGAGTCCGTTAAGAAGAAAGGCGGTAGAGGTGCTAATGGGATGGGGGTTTTGGTGCATGTTTTGGGCGGGCTTGAGGATGCTGATGGTGATGGTGATGGGATTAATGGGAATATAGAGAATAATAAGGATAGTTGGGTTAATGGGAATGGTACGATCAATGGGATTGTCAAGACCAATGGGAATGGTACGATCAATGGGAATGGTCATAATGGGAATGTCAAGATCAATGGAAAGAAAAAGCTCAATGGGTTCAAAGAAATCGGTTAGTTTCCTGTTTTTATCCTTTTTCTTCATGGGGTTGAGTGATGAGATTGATTTTTGATTTTTTTTGGTTTCTAGATAATGATGATGATGATTATGAAGTACCTTTAAATGCTGATCTTACCATAAATCTTTCGGTTCAAAGTATTTCACAATCGGTTCAAAAGATCATTTCTTTACTTGAATTTAATAAGTTTTTGTAATCTTAAGATATTGAAAGGTATACAAACTGATAAAAGATTTCATTGAGATTGGTTTTTGGTCTGTCTTTTTTATTGATCTTGTACACTTTGAGAAACGCGGTTTTCTTTTTTTTTGATTCATTGGATTTGATTTTACTTTGCAAAACTTATCTTTGTAGGTCGGTTTGTAAAGAAATTTTAGAGAAAACTTAATTGAGATTCTTAGTATTCCTCACCTGTTGTTTTTCTTTTCATTTCATCTCAAGTCTTGTAGACTAGTTGTACTGCATACAATTTCAATGTCAGTATGATTTGTTTTGAGAAAGGTATAAAAAAGTCGATTTGGAGATGGATGTTTTTCTGTAAGATTATATTCGATTTTCACGAACAACCTTCTCAAGGTGGACTATAAACCTCATGCGTTTGCTTCAGGTGTGGTACACACGATCCATCAATTTTTTTATACAAAGCTTTGGAAAGTTAAGAAATTCAAAGAATGACAAGTTATAATCTCCTTTGAAGTTAACCCCAAAACAAGAGATTCCCTTGAGGCACGAATTTTATACGAAGAAACCCTTTGACGTTCTTTTCTCTTTTACACGAACTTGAACCGGAATACCTACCCCTATCCACTTTCAACACATACATACCCTTGATGAAAAGAATAAGAGCACCCACTATGGGTGCGGTAAACAGCGGTTTTATCGTAAGTTTACCGCTAAAACTTATACAGGTCCACTATGGACCTGTCTTAGACATGCGGTCCCTACGACTGCATCAAATCATGAATCAAGCTTGTCTAAATTTACACAAGCTTGATTCATGATTTATCTTAAGATTTGACGCTTCAAATCTCAACCGTTGCTTTTTTTTGTGACTCTGCAAATCCCACACTTCATCGATTCATCACCACTTTGACATCTCACACTTGATTTGCTCATTCAAAATCGACAAACAGACTTTGATTCTTATGTGGCATTAGGTGCAAAGTATTGTTGTACAGTTGTTCACCGTGTTGGACACGGTCTTGATACGAGTCTGGGGAGGTTGAAGGAGACTTGTCGAAGAGGAAGTCAAAGGCTATTTGCTCATATTCTTGTTGCTCTTCATCGTCATTTGAAGACTTCAAAAGAGCATTGATTGCTTGTTTCATTGAAGTAGACATTGAGATGTTTTTTTGGATGTATTATTTGAAATAGATACAATCTTTCAAGTTGTGATTTTGCCACTGTGGGATCACTTGATTCAAGGTGATTTATTGTTGGTAACTCACACAGTAAATCACTCCATAGTGAATTTCATGCGGTAACTGATTTAGTTGTTACACGCATGATTAAATTTCGCGGTCGGGACCGCAAAATTTACGATAAAACACGCTCACCATAGTGGGTGCTCTAAAGGAAAAATTAAGAAATTGAAGTCTTGGACGGTGATTGGTGTATAATACGGGCAGTGCCAGTGAGTGGCTTGGTGATTGTATGATTTGTTTGAATTATATGATAGGATCAAAAGTAGAGCTTTTCTTAAACAAACAACATAGACTCAGAGGTAACATATTGCTGGATGCTTGATTATTGGAGCCTTTCAAGTACCTCTCAAATCGACACAGAGCCTTCCCATGGCTTGGAAAAAAAGGAGATTCAGTAGAAAGAGGTGGACCACTATTTGGAAACTGTCTATCTGATCATGATCACAATCAATTGACGTTTGTAATCTGTAGTCATGACTCATAAGTACTACACAGACTCCAGCGTTTGGGAAATCAGGTTTTCCAGAGGTACGTAAAACCCAAAATTTTTTTTAGTTGTAGTTGAAGTTGAAAAAACCAAGTTCTTTGAAGAAAACAATCTTCATACAACTGTGCGATTTCGGTCGGACCGTAGGCAAGATGATTTTTTTTGAAAATGGGTGTGTGTGTGTGTGGAAAAAACGTAAGTTGTTCGGTTCACGTTTCTGTCAGTGGTCATGTAGAATCAAATCAAAGTTAGTTTGATTGATCTCCTTTTTGTGAGTAGGATTATGAGTAAACCCCTATGGATTGAGATCAGATTGGGTTTTCCATTTGATTGGGTTTAGGATCTGAGTATGATGATTTGAGAAAGATAAGATTGAAAGGAGAATTGAAGAAGTGAAATTGATGATGAAATGAGAAGGATGAACTGAATTTTAATTTTCAGCCAAGAGATACATGTAGAGAGATGGAAAGAAAGAAAGAAAGAAAGAAAGGAAATCAGTCTGAACTCTAATGTTCGATTACATTACATAATCAAACTGTATGTAAAGAGTCAAGACTACATACGATTGAAGTTTATACATAACACTTTTCGAGTTCATCCTTTACTTTTATAACTCTTTATTTATCTTACTTATTATTCTAATCAATCCAGACCCAATATCCTAAAATGTTAGATCCACCTGTCACTCTTACTAGACCTCTACCACCTGCTAGAAAATCATTCTCAAACAGAATCAATCCTAATTCAACCAAATCAACTATCCCTTCATCAGATTCAACTTCTCCAATCCAATCACCATCATCACCTATCCCAATCTCAATCCCAACTCCAACTCCAAAAATATCTCAACTCAATACTTCTTTATCTGATTCACCATTAAATGTAGCTGCTAGATTATTACAACAAAACTTATTACCCACAGGAACGGTTGATTTTAATGGTTGTGGTAGTTTTGCTGAAGCTTGGAGTCAAGAAACAGATGAACCAGTTCAACCAACGTCCACCACCACCACCATCACAACTAGTCTTCCTCCTGATTTTGATCATCAACTTAATGATGATGATGATGATCTTCAAGATTCTCCTAAACCAATCACTCTTGAATGGGTTAATGCCAAGACTCGTGAAGAACTTGAAAACCTTTTGTTGGCGGCTGATCGGGTGATACGTGAACGTGAAAGAGGTTAGTATTCCTTTCTTGCTTTTGAAGTGTGTGTTTCATTCTCAGAAAAACAGGTTTTGGAAAATATACTAAAATACACTTTCTCTTACTTCTTCTTGATTCTTTAATTCGTATCACTTCTTTTTGGGATTCTTTTTAGACTTGGGTATTGCTGCTTCGATTGGTAAATCGTTACTTGAGAATAACATTGCTCTTCGTGCTCGTCAAGAATCGTTATTGGCTCAACATGCTTCGTCACCTCCTACAAGTCGTATCATTTCTCGTCGAACGGATGGCTCAGAGGTATGTATCTTCTTTTCAAATCTGTTTCTATCAGTATATTCACTAACCAAGTCTTTGATTTTATACTTTTCTTATGGAACGGTAGTACATCGAAGGTCGACCACCTCCTTCACCACACAACACGGTCACTAACCTTGCCAATGAGCGAGACACACGATCTGATACACCTATCGATACCTTTCGATTCCCAACCAAAACCTTAAATCCACACCATGATCATCGACGTCATTCAACATGTTCTAGCATTTCATCCATCACAGGTCCCACTCAATTCAGAATCACACCCAATCATTTAAACAATTCACCATCTATCTTGAATAGGTTATCAGAACAAAACGAAGCATTAGCCGGAGAATTAGCAGCCTTGGAAGCCGAAACGTCTGCATCTGAACAAAAAGGTAAAAGAAGATTACGTAAATTGGTCAAAGAATTAGATAGTTTACGTGAAGAGTTGAGAGCTACGGAAGAACGAAATCGATTGCTTGAAGAAGAACGTGCTCAGATTGCTTTTCTGGCGGCTAATCAACGTACCACCACTGAACTTCCTAGACCTTCTAGTTCTGTTCTGAACCATCTTGAACTTGAACATCACAACATGGAACGTATTCAACACACTATGAATCATAGGAATGAAAAAGTCAATTTAGCTTGTGAGGATGGAAATGTAGATCATATTCTCACTGAAGATCGGAACATTGATGAACCAATCATCAAGTTTTCACACCAAAAAACTTTATCACACGCTTCATCCATCATGAGTTTAGATGATACAACCATAATAGCCAGCGAAACGAATTCCACCGAAAGAGCCTTAGTATCTCAATTATTATCTAAAATATCAGAATTAGAAGAATCACAACAAGAGTTTGATGAAGAGAGATTAGAAATGAAATTCAAGTTGAACAAAGCGAGAGATGAAGTTGAAAGTTTAAAGAAACAGGTAGATGAAGTTGAAGAAGAATTGAAAGAAGTGAGAGAATTAGATGGAATCAATCAGAGAGGATTGATTGGTTGGAAAGAAACTGATGATGATCATGATCATGATCATGGATCGAGTCCGAATTGGAAAGGTAAACTTTTGAAAAAAGCTCCTGGGAATCGTAAGATGATTGAGAATCGTAAAAAGTATAGGTTTGTGACTTTCTTTGTTCCATTTTTGGTTAGTTTGATTTGGTTTTGGAATTTCTTTGTTGATCTCAATTTGTTTTTGGTTTGATAGGAAGAGACATTGGCCAGCAGTGGAGCATCACTCAGCTAGTATTTCGAGTGAAAACGATACACCTGATTCTCGACTTTCGATTGACTCTCACACCTTTTATCGAGAGGAATCACCTTCTCCATCGATGCGTGGTAGACCATTATCATTCACTCTGACTCATGCAGATGCAGATGAAGATGAACATCAACACCAACGACGTATCCTTCGTACACTTGGTCATATCCCTTCGGCTACACCTTCGATTGGGAGTTCTGAAGAAGGAGATCATAGTCTTCGTCTTCGAGCTCCTCCTGCTCAGATCGGTCGACGTAAAACTAGTCTTTCACAACAAACATGGGCAGATGAAGAACCAGAGGAATCAGAAGAAGATGATCAGAATCAAACCCCTTCACCTACTAGACCACCTACGCGTCTTGGATATCCTGATTCTGGACTTCAATTATCAGTTCAATCTAAGAGTGATGATGAAAGTCAAACGTATCTTGAAAGAAGTCGATTTGAAAGATCGATGAATGAGATGGAATCGTATGATGAATTACAAAGAGCAGTAGCCGAATTACCAGTAGCATGGGCAGATGATGATGAAATCGGACAACCAGAAACGATGTTATTGATCAATGATTCGAAACAACAACAACAAGGAAGGGATCCTAAATCATTGAAATCTGAAACTAATGAATGGGTTTATGAAGTTGAAGATTCAGATTTAGAAGAAACAAATCAAAAGAAGAAGGATTTAGAAGATCCATGGAAATCAACTAGGTATCCATCACATCGGATTTCTAATCAAGCTCATTTAAATTTAGAAAAGTATAGAAGACATTATCGAGTCTTGTTGGGAAAAGGACCTAATAGACCATTACCTAATAGTTCATCAGATGATGAAAGATCGACCGTTTCGAATTCTCATACCCATCATCAATCTTCTTCTGATAGGAATAGTAGTGTTCATGAACCTAATCAAGGACCACTTCGATCGCCTAGAATGAAATCTACTAAGCGAAAAGTGAGTAGAAGAGAAAGAGCTTTACGTAGGTTAGGAATGGAAGGAGTGATTGATGAAGAAAGAACAGGATCAACTTTATCATCATCATCTTCTGGATCATCATCATCAGAGGAAGAGAGTGAGAATTCAGAAGAAGATGAAGGAGGATCGGTAGAGGAAGATTCATCGTGGGATTATATTGATCAGATCGATCATGAATCAAGATTACAGGGAAAGAGAGGAACCGATTATTATCCGATGACCATCAAGGCTAGAAACTCACCTGGAATGATTGCTACTAGGTTACAAGTCACGAGTCAGGGATGGAGAACGTTTGTGTATCAGTGGGTCAAGTTGGTGGGAGTGATTGGGTTTGCGGTTAGTTGGGCGGTTTGGCAAGGTCCTAAGAAGATGTTGGGTGATGGGCAACGGTTTGATGATGATGATGAACATGATGATGAAGGAGAGCAAGATGGGATCGGATTTCGAAGGGAGAAGAAAGGCGGTAGGAAGTTGATTGAGAGAGGCAAGTTTGAGAAACAGGATCGGAGTGCGGGTGATGAGAGGCTTTGCCATGGAGAACTTGAGGAGAATTTAGAAACTTCTAGTGGGGGTGGGGTGAGTGTTAGTTTAAGTGCTAGTGGAAGTGCTACTGGAAGTGGGAGTGGAAGTGGGAGTGGTATGAGTGGAAGTGGGAGTGGTATGAGTGGAAGTGGGAGTGGGAGTGGTGGGAAGAGTGGAAAGAGTGGGAATAGAAAGAAGGAAAAGAAGTTGGCTTTTAAGATGAGATCGTCGAACTTATCAATTGATTGATGATATGAATGATGATGTGAAGTTGATGGTTTAGGATTCTCTTTTTTTCTTTTTTCCTTTTTTTCTTTTTTTCTTTTGCCTTTTGGCTTTTGCTTTGGTGTGGGTTTTGATGAACTTTTTCTTTATTCTTATTATTCTTATTATTCTTATTCTTATTATTCTTATTCTTATTATTCTTATTATATTCTTATTTTTCTTACCATTATTTTCTTATCCTTATTATTTTCCCTTTATTTTTTTAATTTTTTTTTTTAATTTTTTCATCTTATTAATTTCTTATCATGACTTTTATTTTATTTTTTACTTTATGTTTGTATCATTTGAAATTTGCTCTTTTTCCCTTTCTTTCTTTCTTTTCTTTTTTTTATCCAATTCCAATTCATGAATCAAATAATGAACAGAATAATAATAATAATAATGATCGTTTTTTTTTGATGGACTTTTTTTTATTTACTGAAGGTGCATTCCAATTGGTTTTTGTTTTGTATTTTTGAATTGATGGTGTTTTTCAGAAATATATGATCCTTTGCTTTACTTTTTTTTGTGCTTGGTTTAATTTTTTTATATGATTTTTTTATGATTTTTTTTATGATTTTTTAATTTATGAATGAAGGAATGAATGAAATGAATGAATGAATGAATGAATGGATGAATGAAATCAAGAGATGAAAAGTCTTTTTTTAGGATTACAACAGTCAAAAATTGTTATTAGTTTTCAAGGATGTAAGAATGATGTTTTTGAAGGTTATAAGAAATATAAATCATACAAACTTGTTAAATGATCTGTTCTAGAATGGTATGTGTTAGTCAATGAATTATTAACTAAAACATTTGGTTGTTGAGGTGTATAGGTTTATACTAAACTTTTAGAGTCTCTTAAACTGATTATATATCAAGCTGAATTTGATATGTTTTTTTCTCAATTACCTACACCATCATCTTCCCTTGATGAGGTTCTAAACAACTTGAGTATTCAAGTTGTATGCTCTTTGTATGATTCTGAATAATTATCACACCGAATTTGTTTTTAATATTGTGAGTTATTTTCAAAACTACAAAGAGAAAGAGTTATCAGAAGAGAATGAAGAGATCAAAAAGGTTAGAGATAGGACATGATCCTTTGATAATGAGGCACATAAGTGTCCATATTTCTTGCCGCGACGCGCTTTACCCCTTTTTCATAGGTCAATTTTCAAATTATTGTTTGATTCTCATCTTCTTGGTGTTCTAGAGTCAGACCCCTTTTGTGAAATTATTTGAAAGGCTTACAGTTTCATAGGAAGTCATGGGTAATCACTGCATCCTTGGGAATACATTCTTATCTCTTGGCTTATCATGATAGAATTTGGTATTTGTGGAATGCAGGTTGTGAATCAAGAACTGCAGGGTTAATCAAGTAGAAGTTTGCTGAGTTGTATCTTCAATGTTGATGATTAAAAGGAGAACAAGTACGATCATCAGCCACAGCTTTATGACCGTTGGGTCAGGTTTGTCTGAGATTCTTATCATGATGATTTGTTTCGGGTATCAATTCTGGGCTAAAAGGCATCAAGGCTGCGTGATCACAGGTGATCACGTATTTAATTTTCATCTGAAGTGATTGTTTGGCCATGAGCAATCCTTCGGATTAAACTTTCTGAAATGATGTTTGTCTCGGAGAGGAAATCCGAGGCTGCTTCGGATCTTGGTATCGCAGTGCAAACCAAGCTCCGAAGTTGTAAAGTGGGCCGTTGAGCTGCGACTGCCAGTGCGAGCACAGCTTTGGCCTTCCAAGATGCACACTCAAGAGTCAGCACAGCAAACCCGGATGCAAATGAACAGGAATTTTAATTTAGGCCAGGTTACAGAAAAAGATCTCACATGAAGAGATTTTCAGCAAATGCCTTGGCATTCGACATTTGAACCGATCCCTACGCATGGGTCAAAGTCTAAAGATAAGAAATGGACCCTCAAATGTGTACCAATATAGCAGCAGCACAAGAATGATCGAGTGGAATGAATGTTTTTTATAGAATTCGATGATTGATGAAAATGGTGAAGAAAAGGCTGGAAAAGTAAAGGTTATGATGACAATACATGTTACAAAGAGTTCAGATTAGGATCCAATCAGGATTCAGAACTGAAGAAGAGCTGTGAAACTGATGAAACGATTACAATGTAGTGGAGGAATGATTGAGGCGGTGAAGAGGTGAGAATGAATCCAGATAGATTTTGAACAGTGGATCAAGTTTACACTGTAACTACACACACCCAACCCACCGTAGACAAGGCTTTGGATCCGTTCCTCCCGGTCCCGATGAGAATTTACACAATTGAAGTTGTTCAAAAACCTTTTCTTCGCCCTGATTCCCCGCATTCATCTTACTTCCTTTCTTCCCTGTCTACCATTACAATCTTCTCGTTTGATTAACCCATCAACTCTTCACTTTACACTTCAACACTTTTCTTAACTATCAATTTTCATCCTTCAAAAATGTCTGTAAACCCAACTACTTCTGCTCCTGGTCATCTGGCCAAGTACCTCGAACTACCTCAACCTGAAAACCCTTGTTCAAGCTGAGTATGTTTGGATTGATGGAGAAGGTGGTCTTCGGTGTAAAACCACCGTACGTCTTTTCCAGCCTTTTGATTGTTTCCTTTTGACTTCTACTTACGTTTGATGCCCATCTTATCTTCTCGATCTTTCCTGATCGACTTTACCGATCAGACTATGGACCTTCCTGCTTCGGGCCAAGTGACTGTTGCCGACTGCAAAGAATGGAACTTTGATGGATCATCCACCAACCAGGTCAGTTCAAGTACTGATATCTCTTTTTGTTTTGACTTCTTTCCATAGCTTGCTTGAACCGATCAGCTCACCATCTGCTCTTCCTTAGGCTTCTGGTACCGATTCCGATGTATTCTTGAGACCCGCCGCCGTTTTCAAAGATCCGTTCCGTGGCGGAAAAAATGTGCTCGTATTAGCAGAGTGCTACAATGCTGATGGATCCCCAAACAAAACCAACTTCCGGTACAACACTCTTTCTACTTGTATGCGATACGATCTCTAGCTTTTCACTTAGCTGATTTGGTTGAAATGTTAATTTTAGATATGCTTGCAAGAAGGCCATGGACGCCGCCGCAGTTCACAAGCCTTGGTTTGGAATCGAACAGGAGTACACATTGTTTGATGCAGATGGAATTTCACCCTATGGTTGGCCAAAGGGAGGGTTCCCGGGACCCCAGGGACCTTATTACTGTGGTGTCGGTAAGTGAAGAGCCAAAATACAACACTGTAGTACGGTCGAGGATTTGGCTGATAAAGTGATCGGGGTTTAAGGCACTGGACGCGTTTTCGCCCGAGACATTGTCGAGGCCCATTACCGCTGCTGCCTTTATGCTGGCGTGACAATCTCTGGTGTGAATGCCGAGGTCATGCCTTCCCAATGGGAATACCAGGTCGGTCCCTGCGAGGGAATTGACATGGGCGATCACTTAACCATGTCCCGATGTAAGATCCCATCTCGATCATCTTTCTTCTTCGCTAGATTCCTGACTCCTTTCTGCTACAGTCCTCCTTCATCGTGTCACCGAAGAGTGGGGAATCAAAGTCTCATTCCACCCCAAACCCTTGAAGGGAGACTGGAATGGAGCTGGTGCCCACACCAACTACTCTACTGAAGCTACTCGTCAACCAGGTGGTATCAAGGCCATCCATGAATACATTGAGAAGCTTGGTAAGAGGCACAATGAGCACATTGCTGTCTATGGTGAAGAGTGAGTGATTGGGTTGTCCTCTTGGTCCCTGTACTTGATGCTGATCAATATACTGTTCACTTTTAGCAATGACATGAGACTCACTGGTCGTCATGAGACCGGTCATATCGGAAACTTCAGCTCCGGTGTTGCCCACCGTGGTGCTTCGATCCGAATTCCAAGGCACGTAGAGGCTACCGGCCAAGGCTACCTCGAAGACCGACGCGTGAGTACTTTCAAGAACTTGAGTTACTTGATAGACATGTCGAGACTTACTTTGGTGATTTGCTTGCAGCCCGCTTCTAACATTGACCCTTACCGAGTCACCGGTATCATTGTCGAGACCACCTTACTTCAATAAACTTTCTCAACTTGTCTGACCAACAACAAGTCTCTTGCGTAAACTAACCTGAACTGTGTCTTGACTTTCTCAGTGCTCAGTATCTACAACACAAATCTGCTTCTGTCTTTTTTTTTGGCTTTTTCTCGTTTTCTTAGACTTTGATCTGCATAGTCGTCCGAAAAAAAGATTGTTTTTATGTGACTTGGTTGTGCTTGCTCAGCTTGTTCGCATGTTTACAAATGATGTTAACCAATGATTATGCATGTTAAATGAATACATCGAAACGTACCTCTGTTTGACTCTCTGCCTCCCTTCGATATCACCCACCAGAATGGCGAGAAATTTTGATGCTTCTTGTTCACTGTAAGGACTCTTCAGGACTGTTTGAATCAATTTTAGATCGGCGGTTCTGAGATTTGAATGAGGATGAGTAAGTGTGAACACTTTTGATCAGGTAAAACGCACTCAATTCATGAAAAGGGGCAAAAAAGAGTAGATGGTTATGAATCAAAGAAAACAATGAGATGCAGATGATGGCAGTGTAGATCTCAACAGTATGAGCCAAAAGGAGTTGAGATTTGTCATCAGACTATCACATAATTAATGATTTGAAATGTGATTAAATGTTTCTTTTCGGTTGAAGTTGAACCTATTCACTCGCTTCTCGTTTCTTTCATGATCTCTCGTTCTTCTATTTCAGGTAAAATTACAAAAAGTTCTATGTTGGAACAAATCTTTGTTTGTGATTTCTTTTTGAGGTTTACATTTGGATTTAAGTTGGTTGATTTTAGATGAATTGCAGAAATTCTTAATGGTTTGTTTGATGAACCGTTTTTTTTGTGGAACTTGATGGGTCCTTTCTTTGAAAGAAAATGATTTCTTTATAAGGTAAGTATTGGATTTTTTTGTTTGGAGAATTGTTAACATACAAGATATATACAAATAAATTTAAGAAAACTCATCAAGTTTGTTTTTTAAATGACAAAAAAGTTGAAAAGATGTGATCCTGTTAAGTTGAAGAATTCATCTTTTGCTGATGATCAATATGAAACAAATTGAAATGATTGCGTAGTAAATATATCTTGAGTCTTGATGCGTCTTGAGTCTTGAGACACTGCGCTTATAGAAATCAAGATATCAAAAAACGTTTGATGAAACGATGAAAGAATGAAAAGATGGACAATTAAATTCTTGTGATGATATCATTAAAATGATATCATTTTCCATGTGGACTGTACCAGACGTCGGGAGGTTCCAACAAGTACAAAGGCTTGATGAAGGCTTTTATATGCTCTTCAGACAAATTATTATTCGTCATTGATGATGAATTTTCATGATTTCAAACTTGGAAAACTCTTGTCAGATTTCTCTTCACATAAAAATACTGGATTTCTTACTTTACTTTGTAAGAGATTCTTTATCGATGATACGTTTCTTATCTTTAATCAATCCGATTTTCCATAACTGCGTAGAAGTGTGAATTGATCAAGGCAGTGTGAATTTGATTGTTTCGAGATCTTTCGTTATGAATTCTTGAAGTTAGAAAGGATTAATGTATTTGAGTCTTATCAATTCATCTGATTCTGATCACTTAAATTAGTTTGATAAAGTTTTACTTGAGCTGTTATACTCATACATAAGTTATCATGCCTTTGATTACACCTCCAAGCTCGTACCCATCTATTTATCAAACAAGAGCAAAAAGATGGTAAGTAAAAAAGGACTCTAGAAAGAAAATAAAGACTGATGAAAAAAATGATTGATGATCTTGATTATGATGTAAAAATATACTGCTTTTCTTGGAATAGGGTAAGTAAAACAGATGAAGAAAAAGAATTAGAATATCTTGAATATAAACTTCAAAAAGCTATTAAATCTTATAGAGAAGCTGTTAGACGTACAGATGCAGCTGTAGGTTCAAAATTTCTATATCCCTAGTTTTTTTTTTGTTGGATAAAGGATTTCGAAGTGATTACTAAAGGTTTCTTTTTGACGACGGTTTTTTTTGGGTATGGGTTTGGAATATTTAGATACTTAGGTTAAGACTTTTGGAACATGATAGACGTGATTTGGAAAGACTAGAAAGAGAGGTAAAGATTGAATTTCTTACGATGAATTTGATTGGAATGTTTAGAATGGTTTGCAATGACTGATGAAATCTTTCACACCTTTGTAAAAATTCGTGATGATCCACAGAGGGAAGAACAATGGAGGGTGAGTGATAAGTAAAAATACTTAAAAACCATCCAGTCTCATCTTACCTAGACCAATGATTGATGTTGAATGATGATTATTGGTATTATAGATGGAAGAAGAATATGCGAATGATAGAAATATGCAACTAGAAATCCAAAGACTTATGGAACAAAGAGAAATAGACCTTTCAAGAGGTAATCCAATGAATTTTAGAGAAGAAATGAACCAACAAAGACATCCAGATGATGAATTTTATGATCGTGATCTTGAACAACAAGATCATAATCTTCAACAACATGGTAGCGGAGGTGATCATCAACTTAGATCTGAGCAAGAAAGAATTAATAGAATCAATCAAAATATCGCTAATGAAGTTAGAGATCAAAGACACTCACAAGGCTATGATGATCATGGTTCACATCATCATAGATCTCAACAAGATAGGATTGATGATAATAGAAGGAATTCAAATATAAGATCTGAACAAGAAAGAATTAATAGAATCAATCAAAATATTGATAATAATCTTAGAGATCAAAAGCAAGGATTTGATGATCGTGATTCACGTCATCATACCAAATCCGAACAAGAAAGAATTGATAGAATTAAACAAAATATTGATGAGAATCTTAGAGATCAAAGTTCACGTCAAAGAGGTTGTTCTCGTTCTCCTTCTTGTTGTAGGGTTGGTAACAACAATTGATACACGAATTCCTCAGAACCTACATAGTGTTGATGGTCAGACTTACAGTGTTCAAGAAAGTCTTGTAATTACTACAGTTAGCTAAGGCATGAGTGAAGCTTTCAGTTTATTTTATGTCATTTCATTTTGTTTGTTGAACTTGAAGGACACCGCTCGCTTCAATTATTACCCTACCGTACATTTTTCTAGATCTGGGATGTAATTTTTAAACACGGATTTGTAATGAATCTTTTGACATTTTGTCCATTTCTGGGAGTTAGGTCAAGGTTCAAGGTATGATATCGAGGAATAAAAAGTACAACGCTCTAGATATCTTTGGAAGATATGATCGAGTCATTCGGTTACTGAATATTGATGGATCTCAGTGACACATGAGGTTGTACTGCTTGAGTCATATACAATCAACGAGTTCCTCTTGGAATAGGGCTGAAGTCAGAGATAGAGAGCAGTGAACAGTGAACTAGTGTAACTTTGGTGTCCTTTATCATTGAAGGTTTTCACAAACTTGAGATGGATGAATGAGTTACAAACTGAAAAAAGATATACTTTCTCAATCATTCTTATCAGAAACGTAATATAACCATAATCTGAAAATAAAATTAAAGTAAAATCGTTGAAGCTACATCATTCTAATTCACATCTACATTTTTTCTTTTAACATCTTGTTTCATCAAGTGTGATGTATTCATAATGGAGAAATTATATCTAAAAGAAATCACCGTTATAAAGATAAAGAAAAAAAGTCACAGTGTTGGAAATAAATTGAAGGGCCATGGTGTCCAAGAGCAGTAAAGGTGTAATTGAGGAATAGTTGGGATGGTGCGTTGATCGTTAGTGTAATCTGATATATAAGTCGTTTGGCTGCAAAAGGGTTTCGAGGTAAGGAATTCATGGGTGCAAGTGATTTTCATCTGAACAATTAATTTTCGTCTCATTGTGAATGGCGTTTCGTCGATCGCAAGGTGCGCTTTCTCCATTAGCTTCCTCAGTTTCAATGCTTGAGATGTGGTGGTCAGTGGTTTGACTGAGATCATTCGAACTGAGTGCCTTTGTCTCTTGGAGCGGATCGGCATGTACGGTAGATTCTGTTGTAGGGCCGTCGTTACCATCAGCAATCAGCTTAAGCCAATCTGTTTGAGGGATTAGTGAT